TCAACCTCCAGAAGAGACAACTGAGAGGAGATCTCATTAATGTGTAGAAGTGTCTGAAGGCGGGGTGCCAAGAGGACAGAGCCAGGCTCTTCTCAGTGGTACCAAGCAATAGGTCAAGAGGGAAAAGGCAGAAATTGATGCACAGGAAGTTCCGCTTGAACATGATGAAGAACTTCTTTACTGTGTGGGTGACTGAGCACTGAAACAGATTGCCCAGAGAAGTTGTGGAGTCTCCCTCATTGGAGATATTCAAGAACTGTCCGGACACAATCCTGTGCCATGTGCTCTGGGATGACCCTGCCTGGGCAGGGAGGTTGGACCAGATGACCAACCATGGTCCCTTTCAACCTGACCCATCCTGTGATTCTGTGATCCACAAAAATCACCAAATATATTAAAGATCAGGCCTATTCAAATCCACACAGGATGTTCTACAGTTCTGACAGTTTCTTCTTATACACAGTCAATAGGTACACTTGAAAGCCATCAAGGTACCAACACTTCACAAGTTACTATTTATTAGTTGAGTTGTTGTGTACTATATGTACATAACCAGTCTACTCCAAATACAAAATAAAATGCATGTCTGAACTGAGGAGCTCTAGCAGACTAAGTGTTTAGAAATTATGATTTACTGTGGTTTTGTGGGAGAGGCCAGTAACATGCAAATCTCCAGTAATACAATAATTTGAAATTTAATGTTGTGGATTAGCTCATCTTCTCACACTACAAAATCTTGTACATTAAGAAAACTGCAATATTTTTTCTAACGTAAGAATCTGTTCTTCCGGTATTCATATCAATAACTCAGATGACCAAAAGTTGCTAGTAGATCTGGTATGACTAGAGTCAGAAGACAGAACCTCAGAACAGAGCATTTTATCTTATCCTGCAGGCTAATATAAATGAGAACACTAAAAAAAGAAAAAAAGGAGAAAAGAAAAAGTGCCTGCTCTTTTCTACACAGGTTGAATACTTCACAACTTCCTGTGTAACTTGAAATAACATACTTAAATTATTTTCTCCCTCTGCACTGGTTTTGGAAGTGGTGGCTGGGGAGGAGAATGTGACAGCAAGCACACAATGTTATATCATATCATGACATTGAAAACATGAAATTACTGTGAATTTATAGAATGGACAACTATTTTTCTGGGACTCAAGTAAAAGCATTTTTTAAAAGAAAAGCCTATCTGTTAGTAAAATAGGTCCCCATTTCATTATTAGAAATTGCATTTTGTCTACACTTTTAATTTCAGAAGTAAAAACATGCGTTTTCTAGAAAGTCTACTGGCCAAGCAAGTCAAAATACTCTATGAGTTAATGCAAAGAACCCTAAGTACCATTCAAAAATTGAAATAGTTCAAGCTATTTAACTCAGCCTACTCTTCCTACACAAAGGGATTTTTAAAAATAGTTTGGTTTTTTTTAAAGAAAAGGCTTTCAGTAAAAATGAAAACTCATGGAATACTGCCCCCATCACACAGTATTTCACAAAAACTGAAGAAAAATATTCATCACTCAGAAAAAAGTGATTGAATCCTGCCTACAAAGATTAAAAATTGAGAAAAAAAATGCAACTTCTAAGTGTGCATAAAATAAGAATGCCCAAAAACCTGTGTAATGTCTTCATCACACATGATATAAAGCCTGGTAGCCTAATTTTGTTCCTTTCCATGTGACAACATATCAAAGTTATACTACTCAACGATGTCCTTCCATCCATCCTCTAGTGAAACAAGTAGCAGCAGCAAGAAATAAAACATTCAGGCAGCAGCTTGTCTAAGACATACCACAGTATTTGTTTCCAGTCTCTGTCACCAGCACAGTCTGTTACAGAATGTTCAATATCCCTACACTGCTAGACATGCTCTCTGTATCCACATCTGAGACATGATTCCCCCATTACCTCCACAAGGAACATGCAGCTGCCTCACTCTGCTGCAACCTTGCCTTGTGTGCTCTGAGCCACAAAAGGCCTTATGCTTCTCAGTTATATTACATACTATTGAAGGAAAAACCATTATCTCAAGGCCTGAGAGATGGATAACCTACTCTTTTTTCTCATTTACTGGGACTACAAACAGAGCACCATTTGTCTCACCCTCCTTCCTTTATAAAGACTATTTTCACTGCAACAATTTATCGCAGTTATTCATCCTTACCAAAGCAGTTCACTTCCATCTTTTCTTCTTCTTCAACTGCTCCTAATATCTTTGACATAAAATTGCATCAGAACTTCACTGCCATGTTCATCCAGGGGCTGGATGAACACAGTCCTCCTTCCATGTGAGCAATCCTGAGATTAGCTCAGTTGGTTAGAGCCTAGTTCTAATAACAGCGAGATTGTGCATTCAATCCTTCTATGAGCCATTCACTTAAAAGTTGTGGATCCATTCCAACTCAGAACATTCTGTGATTCTGTGAATCTAGAATTCTCCATATTCAGCTACTTGCAGTCTTCTCTGTCTCCCTCAGGTTCAAAGACTGGCCAGGATAGGGATGGGATAGGATCAAGGGACAGGATGGGATAGGATAGGATAGGATCAAGGATGATGGGAGATGAGTATCCAAAGAAGTCACCACCATTTTTCAAGATGTGTGACGATTCAGACTGAGTATTCAAGGTTAGTGTTGCATTCAGTGGCACTTCAGCTACTATCGACAACCAGAACTAGAAGCAGCAGACCTCTGCCTTCAGAGGGAATGTCAGCTCTCACAAATCCGCATGACAGATTTTTGAGAACATTCTCACAATTAAAACAGATGAGCAATCTTGCAGATGGTTTGCTTTTAATTTGGAACTAAACTCTCCGTTGATTCACTGAAACGTCATGTTGCCAACCCAGGCTTTACACAGATTCATTTAACTGACTTTAACACTCTGAGTTTAAAAGGGGAGATGTTGCATATTTCCAGTCGCTAAGCCTGCAGAGTTATCAATTATAATGATTTCTACAGTATTTGCTCAATCTGTATGTCTTCTTGACAAGTTATGTGATACTGGACCTGCTTCACTGGTGCAGACATAAAATGAGTGTCACAACTTAGCAGCTCACATTGGTTAATTTTTACAATGGATTCAGACCACATTTATCCAGGCATTCAAAACCCTAGAGTCCTTGTGCCCCAGTCAGAACTGAGCAACCTTGTTTCTCAACAGTAGCTCACTTCTAAAAATGGGCGCTCAATAATTTCAGCAGTCTCAACATAAACATTCGTTAATTCGGTTTACCCATACCCCATTCCTTTAGACAAACAAAACAGACCTCCCGCTCATGCCATGTACCAACTTCTGCAACAGATTACCATCAAATAACTTAAACAAAGTTGGACACATATGTCTGAGTCATTTGGAAACTGTAAGATCACAGGAATGAAGCTTTGTCATATCAATTATGTAAAGTCACTGGAAAGAAATCCATGCATTTTTGCAAGCAGGCAAAGTAGGCTTTTCATGGAACAAAAGGTGCATTGTCTTTTTCTATTATGTGACAACTCCTAATTAGAATCAATGATTTTTTATAGTTGGCCCAGATAAGCTTGTTTGCATAGCTGCAATTTCTTAAAACAGAAATCTGAACATTACTAGGAAAAGACACCTACTGGCAGTACGACAGACCTTGAAGAAAAGGGGCATTGCTTGATGTTAACACCTGATTAACCTTGGAGGTAATTCTGCAAATGTTAAACAGTAAAAAATATAATAAAGAGCCAAAGAAATTTAACTTTGTTTGAAAGTATTTACAGAAATGGGCCAAAAAGGCATGCTGTCATCTCTTCCTTGAGCTTGTGCCACTTGATGACCAATAGGAAGTAATCAAAGAGGGGGAAAAGAGACAGTGGGAAATTATTTATAACCACTCTTTGAATCAAGAACACTGCTTCATGGAACATTACATTTCAAGATTCATGCAGAAACAGCTCTCGAAAAAATTTCCTACCACAGTGACATCTTTCTAAAACAATTCACTTATGATCTTGAACTTCGTAATTACGGCTGTTAATTCTCAAGAGCTGAGTACTCATAAAGTCGCCATATAGCCTGAAAAACAATGTTAAGAAAATATCAAACCCAAATTGAAACAGCCTTTAATTGACAGAAAAAATAAGCACTCCGAGTGGATAAAAGTGATACCAGAAAACAATCACCATGTGGCTATACCAACATTTAGCAAAACATGATGCATTGACCAGAATTGAGTGCCACGGCAGTTCTAGACAAAACAGTCACAGCATCCTCACTAGCTCCTCTTTCTGCATTTCCTTTCTTTAGTTCAGCACAGACACAGACACAGACCTTCACAGTGACTATCTCCAAAAATGACCACCCTGTTTCCATCCAGATTGTTCAGAAAGGTTTGTTCATCAGTTATTCAAACACTGTTAACACATGAACAGCAACTGCATTTCTGGAAGAGAGGACTCCACTGCACTGGCTATATTTGGTAATGTCCTTGTACAAGATGTCTATTTCAACCACTTACAAGGAGAGCCTGCTATAACCATGTTCTGAACAGTGCTTAATCTTTATACTGTTCAAGTTCTTTGGAAACCTACCCTGCAAGTATCTATGTATAAAAGTACGCAAGCTTTTCGCATCTGCTAAATGCCTCCACACCTAATTGGGACTATAATGACAATAAAACAGAATTGCTCAGGGATCAGAGTAAATCAAGATGATTCTTGCATTCTCAGTGTTTGGACTAACGTGCTTGAGGTTCAGGGGAGACCTTATTGCTCTCTACAACTACCCAAAAGGTTGTAGTGAAGTGGGAGTCAGTTTCTTCTCCCAAGCCCTGGGTTAACATTTGGACTCTGTGATGTTAAAGGTCTTTTCCAACACAAATGATTCTATGACTATGTAAACCTGTGTTCAAGACATGTCATAGAAATCAATGGAATCACTGAATTGTGCATCATAGACTTCAAGACTCTGCCTGGAGGAATCTCTCTAACGTCTACGAGACTATTGCTTTGCAACTTACCCTTTAAAAGTTCACAGGACCAGTCCGTTCTCTTGAGTCCTTTAAACATTAGGTCAGTAAAAATATCTGAAATAAGATCTGAATGCTGAAGAAATGTCAAAGAACACCTTAGTATGTCCAAATGCTTCAGAATATATTTGCATTCATTTTGCAACATATTTAACTAGTGTAGAAAGGTATGTGGCATTTTTCCACTTCCTAATCACTCAGTACAAATAATCCAATGATTGTTCTATGCAGCTTAATTCTCAACACTTGTTTTTAACGCCTATGTTCACAGATAAACCATAAGACTCAGATGTCTGGGAAGTTTTCCAGAACACCAGAAGCATTAATTAAATCTCTAATCCTTAGGAAATCAGTGTCAATCACCTGAATAAAGCCGACAGTATGTTTACTTTTACTTAAAACTGTATTTCCTCTCTGAAGAAGTAACATTGCAATGCACAGCACAATCAATTAACTAGTTCCCTCTACTTCTCTCTTCCTCCCTTTGAAACAGAATAATGTTTTCTGGGAAAGGTCCCTGTTTGTTTCTGTTGTACCTGTATCATAACTTGCATTTTCTGTTTTCCCACCAGATATCGTCAGACTTTTCTACCACTGAATGCTTCAAAGTTTACTCTCTCTGTTCCTGATACACATTGAGTCATCAACCAAGCAAGAATGCTGAAAATGTAAAGTAAAATTGACAAAAAGAACAGAAGTTATTTAAAAAGATTTTATGGCTTGGAGAGTAATCCAATTTCCAAATACTTAACACAAACGTGCTCCAAAACCACAACATTAGCATTTAGTCTCCTAGCCCCCGTCACCCCCCCAGCTTTGAATTCAAATAATTTTCTAGTTTTAAATCCAAGTTTAAAAAACAAACAAACAAAACACAAAATCAAAACCAACAAATCGAACAAAAACCAAACTCCAGAATACCCTCTAAACTTCTTGCAGGTGAAATTTTGGCAGATGCAAAGTTTGGTTTAGGATTCCATACTTCAAGTAGATGAAACTTAAGAGTGCTTCATTTTTTAAGTTTATCATTTATTTGTAGTTTGGTACAGCAATGAAAAATATCTAAAATATATTCTATTAAAATCATGCTACAGGGAAATAAAAGTAAGTAAAATATAATCTTTGTGCTTATCCACAAGCACAGAGAGGTAATAAATAAGAAACCTTTCCATACAAACAGAAGTATTTGTGCAATTAGGAATGTTCATTGCTATTTTTGGTTGCTTCACAGTCATGTTCTGGATTACAGTGAAAGTAAAAACATGCCTGCTTGCAAAATTTCATTAAAGTTCTGTTTTAACTTTTCAATTATCTAAGCCAAAAGGCAAGAAAAGCTGGTTGACATACTTAATATCAAAATTAAATTATTCATTAGAAGAACGAGAATAAAATTAGATGTTCCGTAAGTTTTTTATTCTGTAACATGAAATACAGCTCTTTGACTATCATTTTTCACTAGCATGAGTTCTACATCTGCATGTAGAAAGGAGCTTGCTTTGCATTTTTGAATGCATAAAGAGATGTTTTGATATTTAGGGTCAGTACTTTGGGTTCCATAAACCTTCATGTGCCCGCTGAACTCCAGTGGAAGCTGTGCATCTTCAGCAACCAAAGAAAAAGCACCTATCATTACGTTTTGAATTATGGACACATTATGTATTTCATACTGAAAGAATAATATTAAAAGAGCATTATTACCATTGCTGAGATGTAAGTTTTATTAGCTTGGGCTACATGCCATCTGATGTGATCACATGAGTTTGAACATGTTTGTGAAGGCACACCCAGAATTCATAATTTGTTTTTTCTTTAAACAGCTCAGACATCATAACCAAAAACAGTAGGTTACTAAGATTGCACAAACTTGTGAGAGTTAGGAAGTCTTAGCTTTATGATTGCAAATTAAAACTCAACTTTGCTCTATCTATACACCATGATATTGTTTAATCAGTCATATATCTCTGCCTTTTCCATGTTATTTCTGTTTCAGTTTGTTTACTGAGTTAGTGAAAAAAATTGGCAACAGGCAACTACAAACTTGGCATTTTCTAATTTTCAGCAACCTGACAATTAAATTACTGTTCCTTTGACATTGTTTATGACAAAGTGTTCAAATGCTACTTTAGCATAGTGAAAAGTTCTTTTGCAAGCATGTAAGCAAAAACAAATTCGAAAATTTTATATTGTTTCTATTTTGTCAAGATTTCAGTACAATCTAGGATGCGATACGGTCTTCTCTTATCAAAAAACAGCGGCATGTACTGTACATAAAATATTTGCACATGCCAGATACAACACACCATATGAAGACACACTGCTAAAGCCTGGAGATGGAAAAAAAATTCCCAATCATTTTTACAGGATGCATTTCTGGTTTTAAACAAAACTTCATCTTGAACACCATTTTCCAATCCTATGTTCTTCAAATAGCACACACACAAATCCATTTAAATATTCATGCTTACCCAAAGAAGTTTTCTTGTGTCTCAAAAAAAAACCATTATACAACTCTTTTATGTTTCACATTCTTTTTTTTTTTTACCATAGCTTCTGTTTTAGGTGTTTCATAAACTGATGTATTGTGGGATAATTTCAGATATTTAGCAGATATTAAATGGATGTTGCTTCAAATTTGACAGGAATAGTAGCAATTTGATTGGCTTAAATCGCATCAAGCAGCGATGCTAAAAAAATGTTATCATGTAACACCTTCCATAATACTACTGGAATTGTGCTGAAACACAACTCAGAACTTACAGAAAACAAAAAAGACTGAATTCAGTTTCAAAAGGGGAAGTATTCTTAGTGTATCTGAATGAAACTGTAAAAAGATAACTTGGAATTTATCTCAACTACATGCTGTTGCTACTTTCATTAGAATAAATATATTAAGCTTAATGTTTGCACAGCATGACAATAAGGTTAATTAAATACCTCTTGTTGCAGCTGAACTTAAAAAAGTAAAAATGCTCACTTTAAAAGAAGGGAATTTGAGCAGAAAATGAGCTCACAGGTAGAGACAAAGAGAGTAAAAGGTCAGCATATGCCAATTGCCACTGTGAAGTTTCCACAGCTACTGGGAATTCTACTTTTTTCTAATCCAAAGGAAATCTGCAGAAGCCTCAAATGCCATTGTGTTGTAACTGCTGGCAAATGTTACAGATTATATATATCTCAGCCACTGGTGTACTTACTGCTTGCATTTCAACATTATTTTTTCATTCACATTTTTCTTCTTTAACTTATTCCTACAAAGTTCAAGGTAATGTATAGATTAATGGATAAACACATTTGAACGTGCCATACCTACCTCATATACAGAAGTTTAGGAATAGGCACTAAATATGTATTATCATGTCATATATAATTTTTTAGGCATTAAAGCAGGTCACTGAAAAGAAGAATGTTTTCCAGGTAAAATAAGTTGGAATAGAACCTGAAAGATGTTTTAATGAACAGTAAGGGAGCTCAATATATTTTAGCAGTTATTTAATGGATTCCTATTCCAAATGAATCAATTTCTTGCATGCATCTACTCTTCAACTCCACAGATTTCCACCTAATAAAGCAAGGCCAAGTACAGTCACCTACATTGGTAAAAGAAAATGCAGGACTCCATAAAATTAATGTTTTTTTTAAAATCAAAGGGGTTTTTTGTTATTGTTCAGAACAAGAACGAGTCTTCTGAAAATGGACAGGAATGAAAAATACACTATTATTTTTCCTTACACAGAGATATGATACTGAAACAAATTGATGAGACCTAATCTGCAGCTTCAGCAGCAAATTCAGTTAAAGATGGAAAAAAAGAGCCCAACTCACATAAAAACAACAGGTCGAAACAAATCTATCAGGATTGGTATGCAATTATTTTCCACTTCATGCTAGTTACCTTTGCACTGAAGGAACAAATATGTTCGGGGATTGACCTTAAAAGTGCTTATCTTTAACTTTGGATCTGATTATCCTGATCATCACATGTTTTGGTGTGCTGCTATCCAATTACTACTCACCCTTCAACAGTTTTATCTTTCAGAATCAAAGATGACTGCTCACCCAGAACAAGCAGGAACTAATGACTAGAGTATCGCTTGTAGCTATAGTTTATGACTCCAAATATTTCTTACATAGATAAATAGATACCAGTTCAGATGTGGTAAAACAGATGCGGAGGTCACAGGGATATCCTACTTGGCTCTGATTTTAACTATAAGCATATCAAATACTGCAGTCCTAGCTGTTTCTCAAGTCTCTTAACTGTATGATTTCATCATCATAGAACGATAATACAGAAGAATAAAATGAATTTATGAAGTTCATCTTATGAAGTTCACTTGTGTATCTGATTTCACATTATCTCTACTAGCGCTACAACAACACAACTTGGAAGTAACCCTGAACTTTTACCACAGAAACCTTGTAAAGCTTGCTGATATAAAGCTCACTATCACAGTAATGCACTGGGTATGCAGCACAGTGTATAATAACATTCTTTCAATACATAGCTGTGCAGAGAGAAATAATACTGACAGATAAACATAATGACATGATAAATATACTGACTGGTACCCATTGCAATATATGTTTAATGAGAAGATTGTCTCTTGCAAAATGCTAGGAACCATCAACACATGCAATGCTTACATAATGATTAGTGTGTGATGGCACTAGGGTGACTGCTGTAACAGCCTGCCTTTGATTACGGGATGCCTTGATATACATTAAGATAGTTCCTCCTAATGTCTGATTACTTTTACTATATTTGCTGTAGTAAATCTGGTTCATTCACATAATAGTTATGTATTTGACGTTTTTTCTTCCCTTTTCCTGCTAGGTCTACTAGACTGCCTGTTATTAGTCTGCGAACTGCAGTGGACATAGACTATTACTTCATAATAATTTCAGAGAAAGAGGCATCCTACATGTAGAACCAGAAAATAAATTATAGAAAACCCCTGGCTAGACAAATAAAGATTACAAATGGATTGCTTTCATTTTACATTTAAAAGCATAAATTCATACAGGTTTGGTGAAAAGTTTCAGATTTCTTTTGCATAATTTTTCGTGAATTACAGAAATCATACTTCATTATCATCTTGCTCAAAATGTTCTCCCAATATCTCACTTGGAATCTCTGTTTAAAAGCTTAAATTGTATTGATATATTGCAAATTTTACTGCTTGATGAAAAGGTATGATGTTTGGCTGAAGTACAGTTTCCTAAATACATCAAAAGACCATGGCCCCTGAGCAACAGAAAGCCAAATACATTTTTCCAAATTCACACCATTTGTGAAATGGTAAAGAAAGAAAGGAGCAAGCTGTTTCACTGAAACACTGATAAAGAATGCCATTTCTGCATGCCCACATTATGAGGGTTATAATACCACCCTGAATATTTCTACATTTCATCATAATTCTAGACATGAAAGCAAGTTAAATATTTGGCTGCTCCTTCTGATGTGCAAACTTCTTGGTGCTATCCAACAGTACTTGCTTAAGTTCAGTAAAATTAATCTCAACTTTTAATGTTTAAAAAGCAATCACTCTTTGGGAAGCTAATACAGATAATACCTCTCATTTCTGGTGACACAGCATGACTTGGCATGAACTTTAGTTTCAGTTTAGTAATTTCAAAAACTTTATCATATGAAGTACTTTATCCATTATTAATCATCAGTGATTGATAATTCCTTCAAAGCTAAGGAATCCTCAAGGAGGAATTATAATCATGAGAAGGTCAGCAAGTACCCTTTCTAAACAGATAGGGCAAGAAGTATAGACTGCTACCAAAACAATGCTTTCCTCAGTCTTACAGGATCCCTTATCATAATTCTCCGACTAGAAAGACCCTAGGTACTTGGATTTCAGTGCTCTTTCACCATTCCTGCCCTCTTTCTTCACACTGTTGTCTGTCTTCACTCATCTGTGAGTTTTCATGATGCCTGTTTTCGTATCTTTAATTCCATGTGATGTTCCCTTGAAAAATTACTTTCTTGACTCACAATAATTCTTTTTTTTTCCTCATTCTCTCTCTCCCTGCAAAGTTGACGAGAAATCCTTGAGGAGGAACTAAAATTAACGGTCTGATCCAATATATCTGGAGAGCATAAAAAGAATATTACAGAATTTAAAAAAATATTCAGAGACCAGGGAGCCTGAGTTAAAGCTCTGGTGTGACAAAAGGGAAGGATAAAGAGCCTTCCTAGTGTCAGGACACAATCTCTACCAGGTCCTTTAAATTCATGAGAGAAATCTGGGAAGATATCCACTCTTCCTGAAGGTGATTGACTGAAGAAACAAAAGTGAAAGAAATAAACTTTCTCTATGTACTGTACAAGCAAACATCTACATCATGGTTAAAAATTATTCAACAAGGCACACACTGAAATAGACTCCAAGCACCAATTTATATTTCACCAAACGAAAACATATATGTTTTTTTCAAGTGAGTAATAATCAGCACTTATGCCTAGAAATGATATCTTTATCATTTTGTTAGTTTATGCTGAGGACTCAAAACAGCACTGGTGAGGTTGCTTTCTGCTGATACGAAATAAACACACAGTAAGTGTAAGCTTACTCTCATTCAAAATACAGACCATATGTAAGGTGAATCAAGAATCTGAATTACATAGATTATAGATGGTGCACTGGAGAATATGTATAAACTGATTCTTAACAGATAGATTATTACCCCATGTGACTATCTATGTGTGAGACTGACTTGCAGTGACCCTAAGAAAAACAGCAAGAAAAATATGACTTTAGGAGTTGAATGCTCACTGCTAGTATCTGAGAACAGAAAAATTATTATGTGCAGCACCTTTCCTGCATGTATCCTTCATGCAAGTACTTAGTTTTTGCTTTATGAAGGTCCACCATGTCACTGTTTGCAGTCTACAGTAAAAGTTTATAAATTTAGAAAATAAATAATGGCCAGTCTTCGCGAGCGAAGATTTTTGGGAAAGGTCATTAACCCTTCCAGCCTGCGCAGTGGATTTTTTAGGTGAGACACAGCGTGCGCTGAACTGAGCCCACCCTTTAGTCCTCAGGTTCATCTGCCGGGGCCGAGCAAAGCTTGGACAGTGGCAGTGAGGTCCCCAGGATGTAGGTTTGTTTAGAGTGACCTTCTCTTAGGTGGATTGCCTACCAAGGCTGATGAGCTCCACCTGCCCAGGGGGCCGGGAATCGAACCCGGGTCGCAGAGGTGAGAGTCAGGCACTCTAACCACTAGACCACCAGAGACCCCATTTAGAAAATAACATTTTGTCTAATCCTATCTGTAGGTATGCATCAAATTAAAGAATACTTTTCCCTTCTACCTAGGTGGAAAGACAGAAAATTCATTCTCACAGACTAATTTGGAAAGTACACTATTAAATAGGGGGAAAAAAAGGCAGAATTACAACTTCTCCATATTTTCATAAGTAATGGAGAGACTTCAATTGGTAAGAAAGAAAGAACTCAGACTTACTGTGCATTTGTTTGGCTTCTCTCCTGAATGGACTCTCATGTGAATCAGCAGTTTATAACGGGCATTAAATGGCTTGTACCTTCGAGGGCACCCTGCCCAGAAGCAAGTGAAGTCCTCTCCCTTCCTCTGGTCTATGTGAATCTTCTCTATGTGCCGCACGAGTTCCTCTTGTTGGTCATACAGCTTACCACAGTCAACCCAGAGACAGCCATGTTTGCTGCTGAGATCATCTAGCTCACCCTCTTCATCCAGCAGGGAGCCTGGGGCAGGAGGAGGCACATGCAGTGGGTGAACATGGCTGGGCAGGCTGTGTGAATGCTGGTGCTGATGCGCGTGGTATGGTGGGGGCGGCCCTTGCGGAGGAGGTGGCGGCGGCTGCAGGGGTGGAGGAGGCATGTCCACCATAGGGCCTGAGAAGTCATCCAGTCGTTCATTTTTCAGGATTCCCACTGCCTGGCTCTCCGTGGGCAGCATGCCCTGCTGGATCACCATGTTACCTGTGGCAGTCATCTGCAAGCTGGCTTGCTCCAGCTGCTGCATCTGCTGGTACTCACCGGCCCCATTCTCAGAATACCCTGGGAAGGTGACATTGCCATTCGCCATGAGGAGGCCTTTCTGTACAGTTGGAATAGAGCAATTTTGGGGTATGCAGCTTCCTCGCACTCCCAAAAAATGTCCATAAACCTCAGGCTGCGGGGAGATGTTTGCTGGTGACGTTCTGGAGCTGTTGATGTAGGCCACCAGAGAGGTTGGGGATGTACGGATGATTGTATTGAAATTGACCCCAATGCCGTCAGACAGAGGAGACACAGACAGTGCTCTCTTTTTGGAGCGGACTGGCTGAGATGGGGCTGAGGAATGGTGAGGACTAGAGTAAAAGGAATGCTTATTTTCCATGCCATATAAGTAGGACAGTAATGAGTTAGAGATGCAGTTATTGGACATATATGTTTCAGGTGAAAAATTTACTAGATCCCCCAGCTCAGTGCCATTTTGTAAACCATGGTCAAGAGGGACAGAAGGAAGTGTCCTGTACCCATGTGACCACTCTTGTTTAACGCCCAAAGAGGACTGACGTTCTGAGAAGCTTAATGTTGTAGATGTCAGAGACTCATGTGACAAGTGAGACCTGAAATAAAGGCATGATAAAGTAAGTAAGCAGTTAGACAATTCAGCAGTGGTTCTTTCACTTCACACACACATTAAAATTAAGAATACATGTGAGAAAAGTTGTCCCTAATTTTAGGTACTCAACTTTAGCACACTCAGTTAAGGTACCACTAGAGGCAAAAAGGTCATATGCACACATATGCAAAAAAGTCACTCAGAAACCCATTTTAAAACTTCAAGATTTTGAAGAAAAATTGCTGTAAAGATTCTTGATACACCATTGCAGAAATCAACGTAACTCTTTTCACCAGTTGTGGTGCAAATAGGTTTGGACTTCTGAAGCTAAAGCATTATGTTCTTGTCTTATATGAAACTCATACTGATGGGAGTTGTCTATTATTTTTGCTTGAAAATAATGGGAAGAAAACTGATTAATAGAGAATAAATATTTAACCTGAGTGACTTTGCCAACTGTAATGCAAATACTTCCCTAGAGAAGTTTTATATATCAAGTTTATAAATATAGATAATATCTAACTTTACAAAACAAACAAAATAAATTAGTAAGGTAGAAGAACTGGTTGAAGGGGTTTATTTAGTTTTGATTTGACGATGTATCTGCTTCCAAGTCAGCAATCAAAATTTTTCACAAAAGTGTAATGTTGCTGTTACCAGTGTTTTTTCATAGGGATATTATGGAACTTCTTTATGCTGCAAATATTCTACAGGTAGCTTAAAAAACCAAACTCATAAGCTCTTAAAAACATTGTTTTCTACAGAAAGGTATAAAAAGGAAATACAAGGACATCAGAGTCCCTGATTTATGGCTGCAAATGCTGAGTAGAGATCAAGTGGATGTATGTCTTTATTTTTCCAGTTTATACTCTGGCAGACTTGGATTTCCTACCAGCCAGTAGTGGCTGGCAGGAAATTTTTAAGGGGCTCTAACAATAGGAAGAATCAGGTATGTATCTAGATAAACGAAGCAATCTCACAGACACAGATGCCTCTACATCTTTTGAGGCTTAATTCTTCATTTTATTATTTTTACAATACAGTTTTGAAGAAGCACAGAATTTTAGTGATGGATCAAGGTTACAGGAGGGGAAGCTTGGCACATGGTGAAGGACAGAGGAAGCAATCTGCAGGTGCTGTGTCTGTACACTGAGATAGCTCACAGAGAAAATGAAGCTTTAAAGAACACCAAGCTTTGCTGTTGTGACCAGTGGGGGTAATGGGTAAATGCTCCTTTGTGCAAGATACCTGCTTTGTAATGGATGGTTAATTTGCTGTATAAGAATAAGAAACATCCTGCTCAGAGTGAATAACAGTGCAGCATATTGTTATGGAGCTTATGTTACTCCATCACAGTTTAAATGGCACTTCCAAAACAGA